CCCGATCGTTTGTAAATAGGCTAGAGGTTGTTTAGCTTACCCGACCGTTAATAAATAGGCTAGAGGTTGTTTAGCTTACCCGACCGTTAATAAATAGGCTAGAGGTTGTTTAGGTTACCCGACCGTTTGTAAATAGGCTAGAGGTTGTTTAGTGTCAGCCTACACGACCGTTTGTAAATAGGCTAGAGGTTGTTCAGCGTCAGCTTACACGACCGTTTGTAAATAGGCTAGAGGTTGTTCAGCGTCAGCTTACCCGATCGTTTGTAAATAGGCTAGAGGTTGTTCAGCGTCAGCTTACCCGATCGTTTGTAAATAGGCTAGAGGTTGTTCAGCGTCAGCTTACCCGACCGTTTGTAAATAGGCTAGAGGTTGTTAGCTTACCCGACCGTTTGACACCAATGTTGTCCTCTCCACAAACGTTACTGACAAACGCGGCTACTTCAGTTTAACGTTCGTTCGTACATTCTCCTTTCATCAGCAGAAGGATCGCCCTTCACAACTCCATGTCATTCATAAAGAATCGGGATTTCCTTGCTCGATCCGCCATGTGGTCAAATTGTACTTGGTCAGGGTTTCGTACCAGAAAGGCGTCATTCTACACTGCGGACATTTATTTTGATTACGACCTGAAATTTTACTACGATATGTCAGTGTCAATAAACAACAGCTGTTTAATGTTACCTGGACCTATGATGATCGACCTTCTTCCCTCAATTTGACCAAAGACATGATGGCGGCCTCCACGTATGATACAGGGTACTTCCGTTTCGTGTCCGTGTTTTTGATGTCTTGCCTTGTATTGATGTTTTCTAAGATCCCCTTAGTGATATTTATTTTATTTGTTTATTGACGTGAAGTTTTAGTTTTGACGGTGCCATTTATTATTTCCTTTAGTGCGCTTGCAGTGTTGAACCTTTTTTTATAGATGTGTGATGATGGTGTGGTTTGTTTTATTTGTGTGTGCACTAACGATGTTGTACTTTTTTTGTATCAGTGTTGACGTTGTGGTTTATTTTGCTCTTTTGTGTGTTGACGTTGTAAATTATATTAGCGTTATGGAGTCTAAAATTGATATATGGTGCGATTTTAAAAAAGAGACCAATAATTGTATAACCCTATATGTTCTATGTCTGCACATGCACATGTTTCATAACTATCTTTCTTTGTAAATTGAACTTTTTTTTATGACTTTGAAGCTTGGTTTCGTTTGAGCTTACACTTGATATATTTCCTCCGGAACTGGCTGTATCCGCTCATCCGGTCAATAGGTGTCTTGAAGCAATTGTAATCAACCTTCCGCGAACAATCCAGCCTGAACCCTGATCGTCTTTATATCTTATAACAATGAGCTGTTAATAGAATCTTAAAATTCTCCATCCGTCATCATTACTGGACTTAAAAGGATTATTCTTGCTAGTGTTACATTATCGTGTGTAAAACTTCAGCAGAAATTGATCTTGTCATGGCGAATCCCATAGAGTTCTGTGTAATGACAGGATTAAAGAGTATATATTCAATTTAAAGCGTTTAAAACACACTAAAAGGGATTTGAGATTATGAGTTTGAGGATCAGATATTGGGGTTGTGATGGATTATAATTTCTGGTTTGGTCCTGGATTTCCTAATTCCCCTTCCTTGTTGACGTCACAACCTGAAATCAATCATTAACATCGGAGGTTTTAATTGTGTTCAGATATAATTTGTTTTTATTTGTCACGTGGTGCAGTTTCTATCAGTGTTATTAAAACTCTTTGGCGGACTCATTATGACGTCATACATGTAATTAGATCACAGCAATATAATATATTGTTCGTGATGCAAACTGTGACTTTGTTGTTGTACATAAAGTAAGTTTTGTAAAGATTATTGCGTCTTTTCGGGGATCTTCGATGTCATAAATCCTGTATGCAGTCATACGACTAGTTAATTGTTTAAGACTATACATAATGTATCGTGTCTGATCCACAAAGCGGACGTACTCCTACGCATGTTTGTCACCATTAATAATGTGCATGCTTTGGGTCAATATCCTGGATGGAAGTGCTCATTTGTATGTTTATATTTCATGTATATTGTTAGTTTTGTAAAAACAACATCAAAGGGACTGTGCAAAGACTTATTGATATACATTCTGGTTGGAAAAACACTTTTATTGGTAAGGTGTGTTACAGTGTTATAGCCACTGCAGAAGTATCCAATATCAGGCACCTTTCCCTAAATACATGTGTGGCTAGTTTTAGATTTTATTCATTGTCTCAACACGCTTGGTCGCGGCATTCATAGTTACACCTTTATTAGGGTTTTTAACACACGTGGCTTAATTATTCATAGTTACTCATTTTGTAGTTGTGTCACTACCCCATACTGGTATTTATATATTTAATTGTTTGTGTCAACATACCGGGCAGAAGTGTTCATAGTTATTAATAACATATTTTGTCAACAAACAGGGTGAAAGTTTTCATAGAAGTCGTAGATATTTTGTAAATGTGTCAACACACTGGCAAATGTGTTCATATTTACATATTTTTTATTTTTCAACAGACCAGGCGGAAACGTTAATTGTTATACATTTTGTAATTGTGTCACCACACTAGCAAATGTGTACATATTTACATATTTTTAGTTTTTTCAACAGACCAGGCGGAAACGTTAATTGTTATGCAGTTGTAATTGTGTCAACACACTGGCAAATGTGTTCCTATTTACATATTTTTTATTTTTTCAACAGACAAGGCGGAAACGTTAATTGTTATGCATTTTGTAATTGTGTCAACATACCAGGGACACGTGTTCATATTTATACGTTTCGCTACCTTACATTACAACACATTGGACGGCAGTTTCCATAGTTATAATGATGTTAGTGTGTACTGCTCAAGCGTTATATCGTTCCATTGTCATTCACAAGCAATTATGAATAATTCATTTTTGACTTATTGTTGTTTATATATATGTGCGGTAGAGATATATGTGCGACAAGCTTTTCTGCAAATATCAATTCGAAAATCAATGTTGTTTTGGTTTACTAATATAGTTATATATACTCCATGGAACGAAATAATCTGATAGTCTTATTAAGTCTTGAATAATCAGGGGCATCTTTGTATTCAGTCATCCAATTAGGCCATCAGTAGTATGCTGGTCAGTCTTTGTAATGTAAACAAGGGACCATCATTACAATAAATATCTGTCCCTAGGTCTTGTTAAGTTGATCTGGGTTAAACTCTTTGACATGGCATAACAAATGCATGGCAGCCTGACGTCTGTCCCGGGTCGTCTAGATTGTGGGATGGAATAACTGCCATCCGACCCAGACCATCTAGATGGAAGGATTGATCCGTCCGGGCTATGTAGGATAGTTTGATCGAACAGAGAGTCGGACTTTTAGGTCATACATATATGTACATGTTTATTGTGTCAAGCCAAAAGAGCATTGACGCTGATTTGTTAAGATATTTTATTATTTTAAAGATGTTTGTATTAATTTAAAACTAATATATTTCAATAAAAGATAATCTACAATATGTTTAAAAATTATCTGTCATGATATTTTTAATTTAAAAGACATAACTCTTAATGCACATACTTTCTTTAAGTAAATTAATTATATCGTTTAGTTACTTAAATGGTGGATTAAGATGAATTATAATTAACAAACAATAAAGATAAGTCATGTCATTAATATTATATAAGGTAGTTTATTGTTTATCAGATATTCCATTGATAAACAGATAGATATAAATTTTGTTGATTATAAGAGATATCAGTTTCGTTATAGTTTTCCATAGTATTATGTATTGGCTGTAAAGCTACATGTATATATGGTATGCTGTGTTGTATCGGTACCTATCAAGAATGATAAAACAATACCAATCCACTTATTATAATGAAAGGTCAGATACTCGTTCAGAAACGAAACTTCAGACCGCTGACGAAGCTCCAATTTGAAGCTGATGAACATAATTTTAAAATCATACAAACCATTCCAAATAATGTTATTGAACAGTTTTGTTTTATCGCGATATTAAATCTTCAAATATTACATAGTCATATCCTGTACTGACGGTGTTCAGGAGCCTTTTTAATATCTAATATTGGTCTAGTCCTCACAGAGCCGCCATGTTTCTCTGTCTGCTCCGGGGCAAAGTCGGCTATAAAACGAGCGTCGTGATTGGTCGGATCTGCAGAGTTAAAGTACATTGTAGTAGTGTATATTAGACCAATCAGAACGGTTGTTCGGTGTTTGACCCACACAACATTAAAAATGGCGACCTAATAGGATAGACAGCTAATTTTATTCCTCAGAAAGTACTTCAATGAAAGCGATTTATTGAAGTATTGGAACTGACTTATAAGAACACTGAACATTTGGTCGTAACAGGATTTCCTCTTTTGGCCAAGTTACGTGTAGTTTGCTAAATCAGGAAGATTACACAGATTAACGTTGAGATGGAACACGATTATTCAATAAAAGTCGGAGTGTCGCATGTGGTTCTGAATATCTATCCCCCAGCTTATTAAGAGCAATAGTTTGTCAGGATCTACAACTAGTTGTCGTCGCTTGGAGTGTTTGAAGTTGGTAACCCAAGTTTTCGTTTCTGGACAAATTTTGTTCATTGAGTTCTACACTTTTCTTCAAACATAGTCATTGCGTAAGTTATTTGTTTTCTTATCCACAGTGGTAACCTTTAGCAATGGTTGAACAAAATAACCCGACTGTAGGGTCGTATGCGTGTACTCAACACTGTGTACTAAACATTGAAATGGTATGGCTATACATTGTATGTATATGTGTGCGGTTTTGAAACTCCCTTAGCTTTTGTTATTAGAGACATATAGGGGTTATGATATGCTCCTGAGATCGTCTCTGTTTTGCAGTGCATTGTCCTGATGTTTCTTCGGAAGAACATCCGTTTTACCGCTCGGTACATTTTTGTTTCAGTTCCAGACTAAAAAAGTACCTAACTAACAAAACAAAGCAAACATTTATTGTAGCCATTTATTATGGAAAGTTGCACATATGAAGAACATACAAAGGATGTTAGGTGATGGGTAGCCATGTATGTTGCATACGACACGCGTGACCGATTACATTAAAATTGTACAAGTCACACATGAGTGGCACTGAACAGGTCACACGTGAAACGTAACCCCGTACTATGTCCACGTCACAGGTGACATAATATACGCGTACTGCACACGTCACACGTGATTGGTTACGTGCACGCATTTTACACGATAGTATACGCGATCACTTGAAAGTTGGTATGCCGTGAATAATAGCCACATATCCATGAACACGGAAAATATTCGTTAATAAATAAATGATATTTTAGACAATAATCTTTGCATTGCAAATAGTGAACATGTTGTGACTATTGCTTTTTCTCCTGTTTTACAGTCAATCATTCATGACCGGGTCGTCTGCTTGTGGAAACATGGTATACTGCTATCTCAAAAATTACTAGTTTACCATTTTCCACATATCGATCATTTTCACAAACATATTGTTCCCTTAAAAGTTTAGTTGGAAACAAAAGAGAAGTGTCAATTCCAAACTCATCTGTTCTGATTCGTATCAGCCAGAAATTTTGTAAGCACAGGATTTTCTAAAAATAAATAGTAAATTTCTGGTATCCATTTGTTGTATCTGTACTTTCCCCTTCGCCATACCCTACCACATTGCCTATATCTATCACAGTTCGACACTAGACAGGGTACAATAAGGATTCAAAGATCTGAAGTCGAAAAAATAAAACAAAAAAATGACCTATAAAATATCAGTGCCCTGCCACCATAGCCAATAAGCTGTCGAGTATATACAACGTAAGTAGACCATAACACAATAACGATCGCTGTAAGACACCCATTTCGAAGCGTGGCTTGACATTTTAAGACGCTCACATATGAATAATGAATGTTGGTTCAGGTGCCCTGCTATGAAATACAAATGATGACTTTGGATACTCAAACATGCAGAAATATGTTACAGATGGTATCCTCTACATAACGTAAGTATTGATGATGGTTTAGAACGCCCGCACGTGAAGTATTGATTATGAATTAGGACACCTACACACTACGTACTGTGGGTGAGAACGGACGCCTGCACTGGTGTAATTACACGTAATGACAGAATTTACAACATCTTATTTGTATACAGCACAATGATAAATTTGATCCGTTGCAAAAATAGGTATGTACAGTTATTTTCATTTCATCAATATATATATATATATATATACATTAACAAATAATAAATCATTCGACTATCACAAAATCTACAATAAATCACATACGTATTTTCCCATGCATACAATTGCAACTCACATCCAATTCCACCCGGTGGTACACTTCACATAACATCAGATGCAAATATTACTGTACACAATGTATCCTCGGACAGGATGAGGGCTGCTGAAGTGTGGGAAGGGACACATTCACATGCCAAGGAAACGCAATGATAATATAAAGGCAAATGTTGGTATAATGATACAACATAACATGTAGTCATATTTTGTGTCTTTGTTTAAATAACATTTGCAAGTAGCCAAAGTTTGTGTCTGGTTTTAAAACGAGTAAACATAGTTTATAAATAGGATAACAGGTAATTTAAATACACTTTTATAGAGTCGAGATGGTCATTGTCCCATGAAAATAAAAAGCTGTATTTAAACGCCGGCAACTGTGAATGGAGAACTATTTTTATACAACGGTGCTAAATCCGTGTTTAATTACAAAGTTTATGAAAATATATTGCATCAGTAACTAGAAACTGAATTATATTCTAATTACAGAATATATTTATTAAAATAATTGTTTGTGTTCGAAAAACGAATCGGTCATTATAAGCAATGATATTTCACAAATATGTTTTTCATTTCTATTTTATTTACATGATTAAACAAAAGTGCAACAATACAAAGAGGCACAAGGGGCTTGTGTCGCACTTTTTCAGTTAACATTGTTTTGATAGAGGTATGGTCCGTTTTACCAAGGTTGGTAAAACGACAACATAAATTGTGACTGCTAGTCCAAGTACCTGATCTAATTTGTGTTAAATGAGTTTTTTTTTCAAATAATGCTATCAAACACTTAACGAAGAATGTCAATCCATTACTCTGCCACGATTGATGAAGTAAGTATGTAGTCTATATACCCTAAGATAATTACAAAATGAAATGCTCACTGATATCTATGCTGGACTTCCGGGGTCTAGAATCAAACACAAAAAAATGACTTAATGTTATACATGTACTTCTGGGCGTTAGATGTGAAAGCAACGTATGAATTTGGTGACGTAGAAAACGAAATCAAATAACAATATCGCACAGTGTCAAGACGCGTTTACATAGTATAGTGCGTCTCTTTGTAATCCTGTGACTGCGTCTTCTGTTGACATACAGTGTACTGTCAGTAACCAGGCCAATGTGGGATCCGACCGCAGGGCCAATGTGGGACCCGACCGACATTAAATAGCTTAGACCATATAAATAAACTACTACGTCAACTTCCGGTTGGAATTGATGATCTCAAATTCGGCATCACAGGGGGTGTACGACAACATAAGCTGTTGTGGAGTTGTCTTTATTTGTTTTTATTTGCTCAGCCAGTCTTAATTTTAAAAAATACCTGCCTGTGGTGCTGATCGTGTTCAAAAATCAATTCCACCTTGAAGTTGCTACAGTTTCTATTTGTTTTGTTGGTCTCGAACACACCGGAATGTTTGAAACCACCAAAACTCAACATCCACAAAGGGACAAACGTCCCCATCCTCTCTTCCATTTCTAAACTCATCATTCACGCAAAACCCCTGACATACCAAATCTAGAAGCAAACAACCGCTCCCATGTTCTCACCACAAGGGAAAATACCACAGTTAACAAATTGTCATCACTTTCATTCAAATCCACCCAATGGAAGCGGTTCAATCTCTTCATATATTGATAACAGTTCTAATAAATAACCACATCTCTGAGAAGCTGCTAGTCTCTGCTCAACATCTTGACAGAACTATTCTGTCTTTGTTTTATAAAATAGTTTTTTATATCAGTTTTACAAAATAACAAGTAACAGAAAGTAAGGTAACACGTGACGACACATATATTTCGGACATCGGGTCGCTACCGTAAGTAACGCCTAGTAAGTGTTAACGTTCGAATGCACAGACGTACACTTCACAATAAACATCAAAAGACGCGAGTCGAGTAACATTTGATAGGCGGTGGCGCCACCTTTGAAATACAAAATACATGTGTACTGTTACTGTTACCTTCGGTAACGATATTTCCTGTAGATTAATTTGCGAAAAGCTGTTCGAAATGAGGGGTTAAATATAGTGTATATAATGGGATTTAATAAACTATTGAAGTAACCCAGCCACAGAAATGTACTCATCAAATCCGCAGTCAGGAAACAGTTTTCGCCACAAAATGGCCCCACTAAGGCCCCGAAAAAGAAAGGCAGCCAACAGGCTAAGAAAGCTCCGGTTATGATCCCTAAAACACGAGCGGCTTTTCTCTCCCTCTTCATCTCAACTTTCGCTTTTCTGGTCCGTTCTCTATCTCTTTGTCGAATCCTTTTGTGATTATTGTTGTTCACTTTAGAATTTGAAACAGTCAGTGGTTTGTTAACAATGTACACTGCTGATGGCACTGCTAAATATTTTTCGCCGCCATTTACCGTTACAGTACCGTTTGTTTCAGAAACATTCATGGCGGTTTCCTCATTTACACACGACCCGTTATACACTGTATATTCATCGTGGCTAACGTCACTTCCGGAAGAATTATTCCTTGTCGTCGCCTCGGCCTTTGTAATGGTAGGACAGCCGACAGGTCGAGAAATGCCACTGAAATGTTTCCGTCTTATTCTAGACCGAGCTGCCATATATATCTTTAAATTTAAAATAATCATTAAGGTCATTGGGAAATAAAACGCCCCAACTGTTGAAAAAACGGTATAGGCTAGATCCTGACTGATCATACAGACACCCAAGACATCCGGGTCATTTCCCGGGTCTTTCCATCCGAAAATTGGTGGAATAGAAATAATGGCCGCAACAACCCAAACAATAGCTATCATGATACATATTTGCTTGGCACACCTTCGTCTTATGTAGTCTATATTGGACACTGCCCAGAATCGGTCAAGCGAAATAGCCACTAGGTGAAGAATGGAAGCTGTACAACACAAAACATCAAAACAAATCCACATATCACATAGATGTGCACCGAGGTACCAGAATATGCTCACTTGGTTCACGAGGCTGATCGGCATCACAAGAACAGCCACCATTAAATCAGTGACCGCGAGAGACAATATCAAATAATTCGAAACACCTTGTAAACTTTTCTCCATCAAAATGGCGGCTATGACAAACACATTTCCAATTATTGTCGAAATGATCATAAATCCGAGGAGAATGACGATGAAAAGAAAGATCGGAAAACTGTACCGGGGTACATACCACATCGGCACCGGCGACACACCGACACCAATACCAGAGGGATCAGACACATTGCCAAAACTTCCGTTTGAAAACGAAGTGCTATTTAACACTTCCGTTACATTGGAGATTAATCCAAACTCTGGTATATATATGACTGCCGAAGTTTGGTTTATTGGGATGTTATTATACATCATTTTGGTTAACACAGACTCAGTATACCATCAGGTGTTGCATTGTAAAATGCGTGCGCATCCATATGTTTCGTTGGGACACGGTATGTAGTAATCCATTTTAACTCGTTCAAATCTAACACAAGATCAAATGCTGTGATTGTACAACTGATGTACCCGCAGTAACCGGATACGTTTCCAATTAACGACCCACCGTTGTTTCAGTCTCTTTGGACCCTATAAAACAAATACGGATCTCTGATTCGGCACACCATGACCGATATGGTACCAAGATAATCCTCTCTCTACAGTGCGGAGGGCCGCGCGGTGATGAGTCCTGGACTACGACCATCGCTGATCCATTTGATGGGTGACGTGTATGTTCTTGTGCCGCAATAAAACCGGAAATTGCTTAACTGTGACGACGGGACGTCCCTGTAAAGAGAAGAAAAGAGATTAGAGGAGGACACTGTCATATGTGAATTAATCTACATTCAACAGCAAATATCAGGAATAGTAGCGAAATATAATTCGTACTTTAATAAATATTGTTGTTTAAAAGTATACCTTTCCAACATTTTCGATTCGACATGGGAATAAAACCGGTCTGATGACGTTCTATAGCATGGACAGGAAATGTCATTACCAGTTCCTGCCAACAGACTGTGGCGTTAAATGTCAAATAGCAATTTGTGTATTAACCTGCATGATTTCAGTGCGTAGATTTTACATATAATCACATTTAAAAAAAATATAATCCTTTACAGATAGATGTCCCCTGCATGCTCTTCTAAACAAGTTCTGGAAAAGCTATTTCCGAAAAGTATTGCTGGGATTTTTTTCGTGTGTGTACAATGACGAACATGTTTTCACTACCAGTCTGTGAACATGTTAACAAAACAAGGCCCGTATACGTTGAACATCCATTACACCGCAAGCTTATTGCCATTTACGCTCACATAAGCGAGGTAGTTTTATGTCATAACAATTTCCCTTGCCTTGGGAGCACGTGACAGAGTGTCAATCTACTACAAAACAAGTCGATTGTTGGAAGAAGCTCACTGCCACTATACAGGATCACTGTGTTGTAATGAAACTGTAAAAATGAAATGTTAAAGATCACCAATCTCTCACCAAGAGTCGAAATGCTCCTGACCTTCGACTTTCTGTAGTTAAAATCACGGTCTGTTATGAGAAAGCCTGAAAATTGGATATCCCATGGTATAGTGTGCGTAAAAAAACCACGGGCTGTAATGCGTCTACGCCGCTATGTGAGATCTGTATATAATGTTTTCTCTGACATTAGCCGGTGTTTGTAATTAGGTGAACGTGAAGGCGGAGATCCCTGATGTCCATGTGATGTACGTATACATTATCTCTGACATTTATCGTTTGTTGTAATTAGAGGGACCTGACGGCGTAGATCCCGTACGTCCAGGTGCGAACCCCGACATTCGGTGTTACAAATGGCACGATCTATAACGCGCAGACTCTATATTAAACACGAGCTATCAAACCGTTCTGACCTCCAACGACAAAAGCAGCGGCGAGTGTGTAGTATTTGTCACCGGATGAAAATCGGACTTGCAGTGTGCACCGTATGGAATAGATTGTTTCCTTCGACAAAGTACACCTTACATATCTGTTTTTGACGAAATAGAAGTATATATTGTATGTGATGCTCATCAGGGATATCTCGACATCGCACTTTATTGCAATAAAATATCAACAGAAATAAAAGAACATGTTCCTACATAAGTACATGTGTACTACTCGGCAATAACTAAAATTATTATATTTCTAGGTTATTCGATTCAAATCGATGATGAATTGGAAAGTCTGTCGAATGTCTGAACCGTTGGTAGATAGGCTTCACAGACATCTAATCATGTAAGTAAATGAGGGCACAAAGTCTATAATGTACATTAACGCTTGGTCGCGTGTCGGGATGTTAGGTTTAACACAAATCTGTGAAAAAACGTCCACTTTCACTTAAATATATACGCCCTCCTGAACAGGACAGTGCTTTTTCATGAGGATTTGGAGCCTGGTGTTGGAGTAAGCAACTGGAGACAAGAATGTAATAGCCAATAACGTTAATGAGATCACCGATCGTCCATATCCTATTCCCCGTATCACTCCGCCGTATCCCTCAGGACAATGATGTCATTGTATCACTCTGCGTCCATCGTAATGTAGATTTGATCGTGCACGCAACTATCGCGGACAACTTATATATACTTGTTATCTCAGCAACGGTTATGTTACGTAAGTATATTGTAGCATTACTATGTGACTTCAAACTAAAATATATCTACAGGCTCATAACAAAGGCTGATGGCTACTTTGATTAAATACGTGCATGGCATAAATAGAGGATACTTGATGGTGTCGCCAGTAATACATGTAACAAATATATTTTGCGCAGCACGAGTGAAAAATATCAAAATATTAGCCACACGAGTGAAATATATTTGTTATTACTGAAGACACAATTAAATTTTCTATTTATTATATTTTTAAAGCATAAAACATGAAAAATGTAATGCATTAAAAAAGGGCAGGAATCAGGAGCGTAATAATTAGCGTCATATCCTAATGACGTCACACTTGACAAAAAAGGCTGCGCGCCTTTTTGAATGGGATACTCAACGCAATTCCGACGTTTTATGCTGTTTTCTGGTATTATTGCTTATAAAAATGTTATCAATTGTATGATCCAAACATTTACCATAACAACCACTTATTCTACCGTCGCTTCATTTAAATCTGAACAAAAAACCGTTGCCTTTGAATGCAGCGAATAGAAGATACCGTTATGACTGGTCAATATCAAAAAGTGATATTTTCACACTGTGAAAATATCACTTTTGATATTTGTCACAGTGTGAAAGATATCAGTTATATAAAGTTGATAGAATCCTATATGTCACTGGCCAAAATGTAATAAATCCATCGTCTGACCACATATGGACGCTATATCTCTCGTTTCATCTTTGGCCTATATCCCTCAATCTGACACCATATTACATGTAACCTTCGTCTGAACACATATGGACTATATCCCTCGACTGACCACACATGACTTATATCCCTCTTTTGAACACGTATGTACCAATTCCCTCGTCTGACTAAACATGGACTTTGTCCCTCGTCCGAACACATATGAACTAAATCCCTCATCTGACCACATCTATGGACTATATCCCTCCTCTGACCACATATAGGCTGTATCCCTTGTCTGATCACATATTGACTATATCCCTCGTTTGACCTCATATGGACAATATCCCTCTTCTAACATATGGACTATTTCTATCGTCTGACCACATTTGAACTACATCTCATCACATACAGACCTTGATTATGTGATATACTACCCTGTCTCCAGCATACATACACACTTGCACGCTTACACAACACACATGGAGGCACGTCCTTAAATGACCTTAGATGTTAATAGGACGTTAAACAAAATAAAACCAAACCAAACCTCTTGTCTGAACACATATACCAATAGTCTTTGTACATGTATTGACACATACAATAAATTAAACTTCCAAACTCCTACATAAAATATCAATGGTAACGTGATGCTTGTAGTATTGAACTATAATATAATGTAGCTACATTGTACAGAAGTATGTCTATCTATGTAAATTTGACAACCTAAACTTGTCCACACTGTTGGAATTACAGATTTGCCCAATATGTACATTGTTCGTTTACAGTCGCTCCTAGCTAGTGAACTTTATATCGTGGTCCGCGAGTTTTCTGACAATGCGCATAACCAACACTCAATGTCTATATAGATATTACATTTGTACCCGTTATACACATATGTTAACTTTGTTTATAGATCGTTGTAATTGTGCAATGTGAAGTATAATGTATACGTATCTGTCGTACACATCAACAAAACAACGCTGATAGGCTGCTATTGAACATCATTTTAAGATTCTTTGATATTCCGTCTTTCGATTTCATCGTAATCACGAATATTCTTCATAACACGTCGAGGAAAATCCAATATTATTCGGTTGGGTAACATCACTGTACCCAAATCGTGACTCTTTTTGAATAAATAAATTTGTAAAATAAATTTTCTTTATACCATACTATTAGTTTTTGAAATATGTTTGTTTCATTTTTCATAAATAGATACTATCCAATTTTAATTTCTATCACACTTTGATATTTCGGGCGCGGGGTTCTATAAAAAGAACGTGAAATACCATCAGAGTTTCGTAGGCCCTTGAACCGGCGTTACTGTACCCTGCTCGGGACACTTCCGGTATTTTGGCGAATATTTTGGGATAGACGATCAATTTCGTCAGAAAATATGCATAGTTGAAATGTTTTAGAGTCAACGAGGGTTCTGATTAAATTTCTTCTCCAAACTAGCATTAGTTTTGATAAAATAGTTTTTTGAAAATGATATCCAAATAAAAAGCGTCTAGCGGCACGTAAATCAGGAAGTCTTGTTTGGTAATTAATCTTGTCTCTAAATTGTCCATGTAACGTAAATCAGCAGCAAATAACGCTTAATACAGTTTAATTGTCATCAAAAGTGTTATCAACTGAAAACTGTCTACATGAAAGTACTTCTTTGCATTGAATGACAATTTCTTGGGCCGTTTTCCCACTAGTGGCCTGTTTTGGGTACTGTCCCGATTTGGGTACAGTGACGGTACTGTGAAAAGGATATTATAATTACTTTCCTACACCCCAATGAATGTTTTTTTTCCATAAAGCTAAAGCAAAAATTGTTCAAAATTGAATTAGATTTAAAAAATATTTTTTCTGCTGCGCAATATAAAGCCTGATACAGTTTTTGTTTTTGAAAATGTAACTACTCTATGAACACCGAGAAAAAATTACCATAAATTCACCATTTTGTTCAAATCATCGATGTCTTAATATAGCAACAGTAGATGACGTTTAGGTTTGGTGCCATGGAGATCAGAAATGTAAATGCTGTGTATGGTTCCAACCAAATACCATGTAGGATGTGTTATAATCGTTCAAAATGTCCGAGCCCGTAATATCCTAAACAACAAAACGATAATTTTGAATTACTCACAAAATTGACTTTTTGAATGAGAAAAAATGAACCCACATATTTTCGATAATATTTTAAGATAAATCCTGAAATAATTCTCCCATGAGATACCCCAATACTGGAGATGATGACAGCGTCCGTGACAAGTTTCCCTGGAGCCATTTCGCGTGCTCCTATGTCTGCTATATTGCAATTAGCTATTTGGGACTTAGTGTACGGGGGCAATTTGTGGCCGACCACTTACTTGGCGCGTGGCTGTGACGGGTCGACGACGTGTGTGCTGTATACCGACTGGGCGCACTCACTCCCTAAAAGGACCATGTGACCTACGCACGAACCTATATCGTGCCGAATTTCGTGAAGCGACATCATC